AACCGTCAAAACTGAAAACATCCTTTAACCCTGAATCCTTCAACCGATGCCCTTGGCATACAGATTCCTTAATTCATATCCTACATAAATGAAGATCTCGCACATATACACTAACAATTCCCAACGCGAGTCTCAACCAAAAGCTGACTCGGTACATAACTCATAACCCAAGATCCAAGGATCTATACTTGCATTTAACCCGAAATATTCTGATTCACGGCAACCGCTCACTAAACCGGGATATAATGATTTCCAAACCATTGCTGAATCTACCAGACTTGCACCTGGTCCAACCACCAGGTTCCCAAGAGTCCAAATGACAATGTTATCCTAGCCTAACCATCCCTCTGTGCCACTTACTGACCACACACTCAATCCTACAAACCAAGATCCAATACCTCGACCCAACGGTCTCTATCAGGTCCCACCTGCATTGCCATATACACACGGGCCTCGCCCACGGGTCCCACCTAATCTACACCACGGAGCATGCCACACCCATAGGTCCCACCTATCAAGAGCTACACAGTCCCGACCCCGCCTCGGACCCTAATGGTAAATGCTACAATCCCGTCACAGTCTAATCCTCCTTTATAATCATGACAACCTCAACGATAGTCTGCCTCAAACTGGTGAATGCTACGATCCAGTCATAGTCTTCCAACACTTCTAACCAACCATGGTTTTACTACAGTCGAACCATCTCAACCCCAATTATCCTGAGTCGAACCCGCATCCGACTGAATTCCAATCAAGCGTTCGACTCATGCTTCAAACCCCAAAACCTTCATCAAACAAGAACAGGAAGTGAGGCTCTAACACAACCCTCAACCTGGATCCATTCACAATCCTGCTATAAAGAAGACGCCGAGCTATTGGAAGTTTCCTGACTCCCAACTTACACCACTTCGATCCAGACAGCCACTCGGTTCGGCTCTCCTCCTGACCGGGATGTGAAACTTGCCCTAGTTCCACACCCGATCCAACTCCCAGAAATTCTGATCAATTCTCCCCCACTTGGACTCGTCAAAGCTCTCACATCCCACATAGTTGGATGGATTTCCAACCCATCTTATCTTCATATACATGAACCGACTATGACCTGCGCTTACCAATACTAGTGTTCCAATACTACCTGATCTGGATGATTGCCCAACTCCTGAAATCCATATAGATACTCCTCGAGATCCCAACAGCCCGATAAGACCAAACGATTTCCATGATACGACACCAAACCCTAAAGTCCTTTATGCCGAAGATTACAGACCATAACCCTTGCTCGAAACTGGGGAATCTTCACCCCCAACTCCCCATCCTCAAAAGAATCTCTGAATTCTAACCATCTACAACCCTTATGATTATAAAATTCCCCTGGAACTTCCAAATACCAAACTAACTCATACGACTGCCACCCCCATCTTCTTGCTACCGCTCCTTCCTTATCAACGGTAGTGATTGAACCCAAAGGTTCTTCCATGGACAACTGCCGATCATACCAGAACAGATGCTAATACAACTGAACTATGACTTCATTGGAGAACTAACCAGCTAATCCGACCATAAACCTTTCAAACAATACCCCTGAATTGACCCCACCAACGAATCGAAACAACAACCGAACAAACTGAACCCGTTTAACAAGATATGACTCACTAATAACTATTGGCATGCAAAAAGGCATATAGTAATTTTTGATGATATAACCCAGACAATAGCAGAGGACCAACCCAGAGATAATGCTTACCCAAACCAATACGAAATTCCCAAGAAATATAAATTCTGATAATAACCAAGAAGAAAGCAAAAGATAACATACCCGCAATAGCACCTGATGGAACCCTGGTCTTCCCTGACTGACGCTGCAATACTCGGCTCCTCCCAGCTGGGGATCCTTCCCCATCCTCACGACCATCAGAGATCCTCATAGCAACCGGAGTAGGTGCACTCACTGCTCCACCCCTCAACATCGGACAGTCGGCCTTCTTGTGGGCCACTTGATTGCAGGGTAATCATAATGGGCTTGCCCCCCGAGGACAATACCGACTGACATGGCCAACCCTTCCACACTTGTAGCAGCCCATGCCCCTATAACGAAAAACCACATCGTGCTACTTCTCGCACGTGCTGCACTGACCTCGACCCTGTTGGCCCCTCAATCGTAGATCTGAAGTCTTGGGTCTCTTCACAGGACCCTCAAATGCCTGCACACGCTCTGGCTCCCTCTTCCCCGGGTGCTCAAAATCAATCTCCTACTGTTAGGTTACCCCGACCATCCCATCATCCGTCTGAACAACCAAGCTCCGACCCTTGGACCCGGTGACTAATCTATCAGTGACACGCCCAATGATGTCGGGTAACTCCTCGCGTAAGGCTAGCGAAACCTCCGCGGCAATCCAATCATGGGATCAACCCCCTAAAAACATGGCCCATAACCTACCTCCGATCCCAAATGACAAGAACTAGCAATAGGATCCTCCTTCCTGAAGGATTCTTCGACTCCACAAGCTTTGGGCTCCAGATGAGCCCCCAACTTCCCCGCTACAATCCCAGACTGAAAAGCCCCGATACGACCATCCAAGAGCTCCAAAATATTTTCCTTGACTCAACCAAATATCATAGGAGTCCATTCCAAGATCTCTCGGATTGCATTATGTCTACTCGTCACTCTAGGTTTACTTAGTACCTAGCCTTTGTTTTGGCAACGAAGAGAATGTTTGACTTTTAACTACAAAGAGAATGTTTGACTTTTAGCTAAACTCACCAAAAGGAGAATTGTAGTACTCATCAAGATAAGAATTTTGAGAAAAAGGAACACCAAAATCGGAATCCATACGAGAAAGATATGATTTTCGCAAAATCATTAAATCTTATAAAATTAAGGGATAAAAATAAAGTCAGAAGTAGCCAATGCAACCTAAAGTAAAGTTGTATTACTTGTCGATAGCTACGCGTGGATATAAAGAATGTTGAAAACGGATCTCGAATAAGGAAATTGTGAATTTTACAAAAATCAACGTTTTTGCACGGTACACGGCGCGCGAGTGCGCGCCGGGTGCGCGTCGGGCACTTCCAGAAGCTTCTAGAAGGAAACACGTGGCAGTTTCTTGTGGCTCAAGCGTACTTGCGCGGTGCAAACTCCAAAAAACTGCTATAAATAGCAGGTCCCGACAGATCCATTTCTCACACCTCATTTCCTTTCTTTCTCTCGTTTCTACTTCGAAATATGCCTATAAAAACCCTAGAAAACCCTATATTTATATATTTTAGCTATCATTAAGTTATACTCTCAATTGCGGTCGATCCCGAGCGCCTCCTGAGTTCAGGAATTTCGAATTCTACCCTACATCAACGGTTTCGTACTTCAATAATGAGTTCACGACCCATTTTCCAAACTTTTAGGGGGGGATACATGTTAAAATACACATATTACATAGTTATTACTAATTAAATAAGATTAGTTAGATAATTATGCTCATAATATTAGGATAATATTATATCTGGTAGATACTTTGCCGAACTTTTAAAGATAATATTAAGCCTAGTTGTTATACTGCCTGACATTGATAGAAAACGTCATACCTAGTTGTTATGCTGACCAGTTGCCAGGAAACATCAATACTCTTGTAGTTAATATAGCCAAATCTCTAGGTTTACTTAGTACCTAGCCTTTGTTTTGGCCAAATCTCTGGGATCCCATTATGTCTAGTCGTCACTCTGGCCAACTCTCTAGGAAAATACTATACCTAGTCGTTATTCTGCCTAATACTCATAGATAATGTTTACACTATGTCGTCATTATGCTCACTCCAAATGGATAATAGAAATATATTATGTCATTGTTACACTCGAGTCTAATGGATAATAGTAATACATTATACTGTCACTACGCTCGACTCAAACGGATAATAGTAGTATATTATGTCATCGCCACGCTCAACTCAAACGGATAATACTAGTATATTATGTCGTCACTATGTTAGACTCAAACATATAATAGTAATATATTATGTCGTCACTACGCTAAACTCAAAACAAGTAATAATAATATATTACGTCGTCACTACGCTCGACTCAAACGGATAATAGTATTATATTATGTCGTCGCCACGTTCAACTCAAACGGATAACAGTAGTATATTATGTCGTCACTATGTTAGACTCAAACGGATAATAGTAATATATTACGCCGTCACTACGCTCGAATCAAACTAAAAATAGTGGTATATTATGTCGTCACTACTCTAAACTCAAACGAATAATAGTAGTATATTATGCCATCATTATGCTTGATTTAAACGGATAATTGTGGTATATTATGCGTCCTTACACCCGATTTCAAACGGATAATTGTAGTATGTTATTCCGTCACTCAACTCGAATAATGGTTATATTACCACTCTGCCAGTTGACTTTACTAAGAATATCTATTTAAATATAATTATATATTAATTGTAATTATATAATTGTAAGTCCCTGAACTCAGATCTATCAAAGTATCAATGAAATTGTTTGAATTAATGCGGAAACTTAATCAAACAATGATGCAAAACAATCAATTCAATATATCAAGAACACGTTTCAATAAGGTGAATGCATACAATTCTATTGAATAATTGTCAAGTACATTCAATCACACTTCAGCCGTGAATCAATAGTATTCACCAAAAACGCATTAGCCTAGAACGGCTAGACACAGACCATATATATACTAAACCGATAACCTAAAGCCCAAACATAATAAGCCCACCGAGAACACACTAAGCCCACCGAAATTACTAGGTGATTTTGGTCCAAACCGAGAACAACATAATACATTCAAAACAAAGCATAAACCACTAAATATAGCCCAACAATCTCCCCCTTGGTTTATTACTTTTTGTCCTCTTCAAGGTTTCTCTACGAGATGCACGTTTGTTTGGTCAAAAGCCCCTTCCCACAGCTTCTTGTCAATAATTGTAGCTATCATACCAGTGAAAGCTTTCGCGACAGCCTTAAATAATTCATTCTCTACGATAATCTGAAAGTTTGATAAAGTGTGGATATCACGTTCTCGAAACTTCAACAAATCCTTGGGATCAATAATACGAAACTGGTTTTTCTTTAGCTTGATCACCACCGTTGTAGTAGCCTCATCATAAACCCAGAATTGTATTGTATCCAAAGTTCCTTCAGGTAAGCGTTTGGGAAGAGGAATCCTTTTGGCTTGCTTTGTGGGTGGCCACATGACATTCACCATTGTTTTGTTGGTACGTGGATCAATGACACTCTTGGACTTCTTAGTAAACGATGAAGCAGTATTTAAGTCTTCAAAGTTATTTTTCGCTTTAATCTCAAGAAAATTCTTAAAGGACCATGCCATGGTATCATTCTTTGGATTGTGGAAATGTGCGTGGATGAGTTCAGAAAGATCAACTTTTGTCCAGGAAAAGAAGTCGACTTTCTTCTCATAATATTCAATTCTTCCACTTTTCCGCCTCACGACCCACATCTTCTTATCAGCATTATATCCCCATACAATGATTCCAGAACGATCCCCATATTTGTCTAAGAACTTCTTCCCAGTTTTCCTGAAGAACATTTTAGAGTGATCACCTGGAGCATTTTGATATGAATGCTTCATCATGAGTATTTTCCCTTTCAACTGCTCAACCCTAATTTGCTTCTCTCTTCTTTCTTGAGCAGTAGTAGGACCAGAAGATAAGAATGTATCAAAATTAGCATCTGGAGTAGGTCTTGTAGCTCTTTCACTTGAAGATTGAGAAGCTGGATTGGCGGGACCTAAACTAGAAGCAGTGATCTTTTCTCCTTCAGCACTCAAAGGTTGAAATTCATCACTAAACTTTTGAAATAGGCGTTGTTTCAGATCAAAGAATAGAGCAGTTAGACCACCAATATTTTCTTGAAGTTCTGAGATCTTTGAATCTTTATTGGAGTTCTCTTTCTCAAGCTCGCTGATTCGAATGTCCTGCTTTCCAATAATCAAATCCTTTTCAGTAGAGCTTTGTTCCAGATCAAAGACTTTGTTCTGAAGCAGAACCACATCAACGAATTCAGATTCAGGCAACTTGTTTTTGCCTTTGGAGATGTCCAGCTCGGGTGTTTCAAATGAGCATCTTGAAGCTTGAGCTCCTTCTGAAGGTATGACTTCTTCTTCAACAATAGGGCTTTGAAAATCCTGATCCATAGGAATGGACCCGGGAGTTGGGCTTGGTATGTATTGAATCACTGAAGAGGACTCAATGAATGTGCCTTGAATGTTTTGAGCCATAGAACCAGGCTCAATCGGTGTAGATTTCTTGTGAACTAGGTCTGTGATAAGCACTCCCGCCCTTGGATCTCTTCTCTTTTGCTTCCTTGGGAGTAAAGCGTTGGCTGAGTCTTTTGGATCACTTTCAGATGGAGTTTCGGTATCAACAGGAACTGTTTGGGGAGGCTTCCTTGCAGTTTGCTGAAGTTCTGCTATAAGAGCATTCATCTATTCAGGGGTCGGTATGGAAGATTGCACCATTGTATCACTTTCCCTTTCGGTCACAATCAGAGTTGTGACAGCTGCATCCTCTTCTGGGTTTGAAATACTTTGCTGAATAAAATCTCCAAACTCATTTTCTGTCAATTCCTTTTCTTGATCCTCTTGATCGTCTTCATCATCAGACAATTCAATCTCTTCAAAGGCAAATTGAAACTTTGGTTTGGGCGCCACATGTTCGTCGACAACCTTAACATTTGTGGAACTAATAGCAGAAGTGTCTTCAATCTCAACAAACTTTCCAATTTTAACTAACTCCTTTAATACTTGATAAGCAACTTTGGCAGCCTTTCTTGATTGCTTCATGAGTCCAAAAGAGTTGGGACCCAAAGCTTTCATATCCAAAGTATCAGATGTCCTTTCGATTTGGGGGTATTTTTCATTAAAGATCATTTGAAGGAACCTGGGGTACATCAAAAATAGGTCCTTTTTCTTTCCCAGGAGGTTGCTCTTCATTTCTTCGAAGACGAACTTTGACAAGTTGTAATCCCAGTCCATAGCCAGAGCAACAATGGTTGAGGTCACAGTATGACTATTTTCATCAGAGCCTCCCTTTTTTCTAGAAATGAAAATCACAAAGGAGTGTGCCAGGAACCTCCACTAGGGTGGCAGTAGCTTCTTGATGGTGGGATGATAGGTTCCTTCATAACACATTTTCTCCAGAACTTCCTTGACCCGATCAGCAGAGTACTCAATCGGAAATGAGGATGCATCACCAAATTCAAGTACCTCTCGGACAACTTGTTCAGAGATAATCACTTGAGTTCCTTTCACCATACATTCCACTGTACCAGCTCCATCTGCTCCTAGCTTGTTGATCGAGGCATTTCTCCAGAAATCAGTGATCATGTCTTTGTGAATGACTGGATTGGCACGAAGGGCTTGATATATCATGTACTTGTTCAAACCCACCATCATGGATTCTTGATGAGCAGCAGGTGGATCCATGAGAGATCCAGTAATCTTGTGAGAGTCTACGAATTTAAGTTGCTCTGCCATTTATCTGCACCAAACTAGCCAAGTAAGAATTAATTTAAAAATTAATTAAATTGAGTCTGAAATCTGATTTCAGTTAAAGTCAAAATTTTAGTCGATTTCGGTCAAAGACAAGGTTTCAGTTGTTTTCGGTTAATGTCAAGATTTTAGTTGATTTCGGTCAAAATGATCGATTTCGGCCAAAATTACTTTTTGACCAGTCGATTTCGGTCAACGTTGGTTGATTTCGGCCGAGAACCCAGATTTCAATCAAATCTTTAGTTGATTTCAGTCGAATCCGGGTTGAACCGAAGACCCGAAATCTCATCGGAACCTGTTCCAACTCAGTTCTTCAAAAACCTTGAAAAATCCACTTGAAAACCTGCAAATCTATGAAACCGAGTACACCAAAAACAACTTAAATGTCATTGCCATGATCGAAAACCCAAACAATACCTGATTCACCTAACAATTTGCAACAAAACAATGAATGAGTAGGTTTTTGCAGAAAAAACTCGAAAAAATTTAGGAGAGAAATCGACTATGGCTGTGTGGGGTTTTTCGGTGAGAAACTCTAACCAGCTGAAAACACAATATATATATATATATATATATATATATATATATATATATATATAATATATATATATATATATGCATATTACCGAAAAGACGACCAATATGGCCCACCTAAATGATTTCGGCCCAAAAGAAATACCCATTTTTAATAAAAAGGATTTCTTTAGATTTTACGTTTCAAAAACCAAATACGAAAATAAAAATAAAATTAAACACACTTATTATTATTATTTTTTTATTTTTATTATTTTTTTTAAAATATTTTTTTATATTTTATTATTAGTTTTTTTATATAATTTTTCCCCCTAAATTTGTGCATAACAATGAAAATATGTACAAATTTAAATAAAAACAAAAATGTAATAAACAGATTCTAATAAAACAAAAACTTTTGGGATCAAAGGTTATGAAGCAAATTAACCAGGTTTATGTAACGAACCAAATTTTCAAATTAATTTTTCATTTTTAATTAACCAAAACATTCCCATAAAGTGTGAAATATCAATGACAATTGTTTTCAAATCCATAACACCAACATTTTATTTCAAATATCAGAGTGTCCCATCAAATCAAATGTCGGATAGTACATGCCGCCCCATCAAGCCTTTCCCTTGCCCTTAGGCTCAGAAGTACCTGAAACAAATCAACAAACTGTAAGCTAATGCTTAGTGAGTTCCCCAGAGCATACCTCACACAATCCACATAATCACATAATCTGTATTAGCTATAAAAGCTACACAAACCATATAAGCCATGCATACAACATATAGGGGTGTCGTGGGCTCCCCCCAGGGTCTTACTCCAGGATGCAATGGGCTCCCCACATGGTCTTACACCTAAGTGCCATGGGATCTCCACATGGTCTTACATCCAAGTGCCATGGGCTCCCCCATGGTCTTCCATACAAGCATACCACATATACAACTAGCATACCTCCTAGCATATAACTAACTAACATGCCACATAACACTACATCAATTAGTGTACCACATATCATAAAATGGGTTGGCCTTGGTGCCTTAGACCCATTGATATGGTGAGGAGACTCACCTCTGTCTGCTGAATCCGAAAGCTACTTTCCTAATAGTCCGTAACCACCCGTGCTGAACAAGAATACCATTAACCCACGGTTAGGGCTCAACATAATCCAATTAACGAATCGAAGCCCCAAGTCCTTTCACAATGGCCAAAAAGTCTTCCTTTGCTAATGGGCCCAAATTCCATGTCCAAAGTGGGCCTCATGGCCCAATAAGGCCTAACTTTAGCAACCATGGCCCAAAACAGATAAATCGCCCACTAACACAAAACATGTCCAGGCCCAATGACTGATTAAGGCCCAAAGGGCTTTCAAGCCCAAAACAAGTCCAAGTCCATCTGAGTGCACACGCCCTGTGTACTACTTCTGTACGCTTAGTGTACTAAGTCCTTGAGTTGTATACGCTGCGTACACCATGCTACGCCCAGCATACAAATAGATTAAGCACCTTTTCCATTAAGTTCTTAATACTTGTTCCAACGTCCAATCTTTAGATCTGAGTTCATTAAGACATCCTAAGGCATAAAGTTGGCAACTTTATGCCTTTGCATGTTCCATATGCTCCCAACAACCCATTAAGACCTTTTCAAGAGTCTTAAACCATGCATGAGGTGAAAACACCCATCAAGACTCCATTTTTATGCTTGGAATGGACCAAAAGACCTCAGATCTATCCTCCCTAAACTCTGGAGTTGCTCAAACTCTCAAGAGGTGGTCCAAGAACACAAAAAGGGACTAAAGAGAAAACCCTAGCTCTAGAAATCAAAATAATGACCAAGGTGAAAACTTTTTACCTCCTTAAGCTTCATAGCCTGCTCAAAATGTAAGATCCAGAAGCTCTTCTTCGTCCAAGCTTGTTTCATCCTCTTCCTTGTCGCTAATACACCAAAAGGATGGTGTTTAAACACTCACAAGCTCAAGAACACACACTCTAATGATTTTAGGGTTTTCAGGAATGTTTGAGGGTGAAGGAGGCTAGTTCGGGTGAGGCTCAAATAAGATAAGGATGCTTATATATGTCTTAAGTCCAAAAATTAGGTTTTGTTCCTCTGTCGCATACACCCCATGTACCCTTATGTACACCCCGCGTACGTGAAACTCCTCCGCGATCCTTCCTCCATGGTACACTAAGCGTACCCTTAGGTACGCCCAGCGTACTAAAAGGGGCCATTTTTGCCAACTGAATTATTTAAAGGAATTAAAATTGTCTACCTGATTTGGAGTGTTATAGTTTATCAGCACACACGTTCATGAAAAGCTCTGGTCAATCATTGATATTGTGATCCACTTAAACGCAAAGGACATTTTTCAGGACATATCATGAGTGACGATATATAGCTACTATATTCCTAGATAGACCATTTTGTCTGACGACGACCAAGAATATTGTTGTCCATTTAAATTTAGCCAGTAAAATCTACCAGTCAGCCTTAAGTTATAGGTGCAGTTTATGTTAGTACACTGGAACATGTTCCCTACTTCATGGCATACCCCAGTAATCAAGGAAATTTCTTCAGAATCCTTTACTTTAGGTGAGTAGATAATCATTGTGGAGTGCATATGTTGTGTCCCAGGTCGGATCTACCGATCACGCAGAGGAGACAATATATGACTAACATAGAGAGTAGGATATATGTAGGAGACGATATACTAACTTAAAAGCAGTGAACATCATCTGAGTGCATATGTTGTGTCCCAGGTCGTATCTTCCGATCACGCAGAGGGGACAACATGTGGCTGACTAAGAAGGAAAGAAGAACAATTTTAAATAGACCCAATTTATCAAAACCCCTTAGTCACCCCCTATCAATACAAGAATTAAGGACACAAGTCCATACGCCAATGAAGTGTTGAGATACAGATATAGATGATAGTTAGCTTCAATTTATGTCATAGGCCTCCTTGTCTATTTTACTGTTAATTTTATCCAAGCGTCGTATTGTCAGTCCAAATGAGGTTTTCTAAGTCCAAAAGAGTCCACATTGTCTAGTCCATTAGCCTTAGTCCTTTATGCCTACCAACACATTGAATACATAGTTTAGACAATTGAGCTTTAGTGCATTACACGTATTTCGTTTGCCCTTTATCACTAACTCATATCACTTCCCAAAAGACTGTCACAAAATTTCTTTTTCTAAAAATAAAATAGAATGGAAAAAAATAAGAAATACAAAATAAAAATGAAAAGAAATTTCAGTCTTCGAAACGTATCATCTCAAGAAATCCCACAAGCACGAGCTTGGTTTAAAAAATAGGTTTTTGGACGACCTGTAACACCCAGAATCAGAAAGACCAAGAAAAAAAAGGAAAGTCTCTAATTCAAGAGTCAACTCGTCGAGTCCAGGGAGGAACTCGTCGA